CCCACGAAAGCTTATGCTCCCAATACTTCTGTTAGTCTCAAAGGTGCCACAGGACCCTCTGTTGCTTTTTACAGATTCAGACTAACACGGCTACCCCTCTGATACTTAATGTATAGTTCCTTTCCCTTTCCATTTTTCTAATATTTAAAATATCCATGTATCTAACTACCACCAGTGTCCAGCATTTAGTACCTGGGAACCAGAGTCATTACAGTGAAAGCTGCTATGATTTCTTAGATACCCTTTTTTCATAAAATTGATTTCATAACTATATTGTGATATTTCCATAAGCTTCCTTTAAACCCAAATTCAAACAATTATCCTGTCCCTCTGGATAGTCCGGCTTCCGTTTAGTTGGTTCTTTTTAATATCATATTGAGGAGTGAACACAGACAATGGCACTAACTAACAGAAATCTTCATAACGTCTGATTCCCTAGGTCGGTGAAGAACAGGGATGACACCGGAGTAGATGCCTTGTGCAGCTACAGGAATGAGGCCACAGCACCCAAGTTTGACAGAGTGAAGGTTTACCGGGAGCTGAGCAGCATGACGAAGGACATCACCACGTTAGGGCAATACAACCTGGATAACAAGAGCCTCTATGTCAATGGTAATCGGATGATGGTCTCACACCTCCAGGGAGCGCTCACATCGCTCCTTGGTTTAACGCGCATGAATAAAAAAGATGAAACTCCAGAAAAATGTACAGGACAAAATGACATCCACACAGCATAGAAGTCAGTCCAGACTTGAGTAAAATATTTGTGAGCTCAGAAAACAGCTGATTTCCTTGCACTCCATGGAAACACTCCTTCATTGGGGTGACAACTGCCATAGTAGGACAAGAGAAATTCCCCAGGAGATGGAAAGGGGACGTGGAAAATACAGGAAAGTGAGAGATGGCCTGCTTGGGCCTTAGGCTCCCATTCCGCAGGGCATTTAAGCACGTGCTTAACTTTAAGCACAGAAGTGCCCCATTGATGTTTATGGAATAACACATGCTTAAAAATGAGCATGAGCCTAAGTGCTTTGCTGAATCAGGGCTTATTTAAGAACATGGGTAAAATGGTCACAAACACTTAAGTAACTGAGGAGACCAAGTCCTATGGACTGGCAGGATTTAGGCTTCTGAGTTCAACAAGCACTTCTAAAATTTTTACATTAAGTCCCATTTTTAAAAGTGACTTGAGCGATGTAGGAGACTAGGTTCCAGTGACAATATCTGGGATTTAGTCTCCTAAGTCACTTAGGTATTTTAGAACATTTTATCCCAATAGTACACATAGCTTTTAGCCCCGAGTTGCTGTTCTTTGAGATTATAGTAAAATACAGCCATTCTTAAGCAACAGGGTTACTTATTCGATAGATACACATCAGCGTTTGGCTTCTGGCGCTCCATTCCTGAGTTATCTGTTGTCTGATCCTCTTTCATTTTTTAGTCTCTCTGTCCAAAGCCCTGTTTCTTAATGATAATCTCTGTTCCTTTCCAGAATACAACGAAGCACTTCTTGGGCCAAGTAAGTGTTTTAACAAATTAAGTCACATTAGAGCTATCAAAGAAAAATGAGTGGGGAAGGAATTCTCAAAAGCCCTGTAGAAGGGTAGAGTTCTGTTGGGATTGAGGGTGTCTTTGAGGGTGCAGAAGGCTTTGTATGTTGCTATGTTACGATCCTTTCTCTTCTGTATCACAGCTCTGAGCCTAACTACCCCCCAAAGTTCAACAGCTGGGCATTTCACACTGAACTTCACCTTGACCAACCTCCGCTACACCACAGACCTGGGGACACCGGGTTCCCGCAAATTCAATTCTACCGAGAAAACAATACTGTATTATGTAAGTCTGACAGACACACGCTGCCCGGCCTGTTTCATTTAGTGGCTCTTGTGCTCTCCCCTTTGCACACCCCTCTTCTCCCCCCAGACGTGTGTCAGACTCAGGAAATGATCTTTTCTTTGACAGATTGAGCCTCTGCTCAGAAACAGCAGCATTGGCCCGGTCTACACTGGATGCAAAGTGATGGCATTTAGGTAAGGAGGGTATACTTCTTCTATTCCGCTACAGCGTAGGGCTTCATGTACGTTCGCTGGACACGCTAATCACTAACAACGTATAGTTCCTTTCCCTTTCCACTTTCCCTAATATTTAAAATATCCATATCCTAACTACCACCAGTGTCCGGCATTTAGTACCTGGGAACCAGAGTCATTACAGTGAAAGCAGCTATGATTTCTTAGATACTCTTTTTTCATAAAATTGATTTCATAACTATATTGTGATATTTCCATAAGCTTCCTTTAAACCCAAATTCAAACAATTATCCTGTCCCTCTGGATAGTCCGGCTTCCGTTTAGTTGGTTCTTTTTAATATCATATTGAGGAGTGAACACAGACAATGGCACTAACTAACAGAAATCTTCATCACGTCTGATTCCCTAGGTCGGTGAAGAACAGGGATGACACCGGAGTAGATGCCTTGTGCAGCTACAGGAATGAGGCCACCGCACCCAAGTTGGACAGAGTGAAGGTTTACCGGGAGCTGAGCAGCATGACGAAGGACATCACCACGTTAGGGCAATACAACCTGGATAACAAGAGCCTCTATGTCAACGGTAATCGGATGATGGTCTCACACCTCCAGGGAGCGCTCACATCGCTCCTTGGTTTAACGCGCATGAATAAAAAAGATGAAACTCCGGAAAAATGTACAGGACAAAATGACATCCACACAGCAGAGAAGTCAGTCCAGACTTGAGTAAAATATTTGTGAGCTCAGAAAACAGCTGATTTCCTTGCACTCCATGGAAACACTCCTTCATTGGGGTGACAACTGCCATAGTAGGACAAGAGAATTCCCCAGGAGATGGAAAGGGGACGTGGAAAATACAGGAAAGTGGGAGATGGCCTGCTTGGCCTTAGGCTCTCATTCTGCAGGGCATTTAAGCACATCCTTAACTTTAAGCACAGAAGTGTCCCATTTATGTTTATGGAATAACACATGCTTAAAAATGAGCATGAGCCTAAGTGCTTTGCTGAATCAGGGTCTTATTTAAGAACATGGGTAAAATGGTCACAAACACTTAAGTGACTTAGGAGACCAAGTCCCATCCATTGGCAGGATTTAGGCTTCTGAGTCCTACAGACACTTCTAAAATTTTTACCTTAAGTCCCATTTTTAGAAATGACCTGAGGAATGTAGGAGACTAGGTCCCAGTGACAATCACTGGGATTTAGTCTTCTAAGTCACTTAGGTATTTTTGAACATTTTATCCCAATAGTACACATAGCCTTTATCCCCGAGTTGCTGTTCTTTGAGATTATAGTAAAATACAGCCATTCTTAAGCAACAGAGATACTTATCTGATAGATACACATCTGCAGCGCTTGGCTTCTGGCGCTCCATTCCTGAGTTATCTGTTGTCTGATCCTCTTTCATTTTTTAGTCTCTCTGTCCATAGCTCTGTTTCTTAATGATGATCTCTGTTCCTTTCCAGAATACAACGAAGCACTTCTTGGACCGAGTAAGTGTTTTATCAAATTAATTCATATTAAAGCTAATGCAGGAAAATTAGCACTGTAGGAGTGGAGTGTTCTGTTGGGACTGGGGGTGTCTTTGAGGATGCAAGTATCAGAGGGGTAGCCGTGTTAGTCTGGATCTGTAAAAGCAGCAGTTCTGTGGCACCTTATAGACTAACAGACGTATTGGAGCATGAGCTTTGGTGGGTGAATACCCACTTCCTCGGATGCATGTGAGGGTGCAGAAGGCTTTGTATGTTGCTATGTTACGATCCTTTCTCTCTTATATCACAGCTCTGAGTCTCACTACCCCCCAAAGTCCAACAGCTGGGCATTTCACACTGAACATCACCTTAACCAACCTCCGCTACACCACAGACCTGGGGACACCGGGTTCCCGCAAATTCAATTCTACCGAGAAAACAATACTGTATTATGTAAGTCTGACAGAGACATGCTGCCCGGCCTGTTTCATTTATTGGCTCTTGTGCTCTCCCCTTTGCACACCCCTCTTCTCCCCCCAGACGTGTGTCAGACTCAGGAATTGATCTTTTCTTTGACAGATTGAGCCTCTGCTCAGAAACAGTAGCATTGGCCCGGTCTACACTGGATGCAAAGTGATGGCATTTAGGTAAGAGTTCTGTTGTAGGGGTGGTTCCATTCTCTTGACAGACACTAATTGGGCTGTAAAGCAGCATAATTCTTTATAACCCACATGTTTCCCCCACCTGAGATCTGCCCATGTGTCTTTATGACTTAATTCTTCCTGCCTGGGCTCCTGTATATTAATGTTCAAATCACCCCCTGAAACCTTCATGATTTCATTTTATTATTGGTTCTGTGAATTAACCCCCCCCCCAACTCTGCAATGCAGCTGTTGTGATTGTGAATGAAGACTGATTGTGGCTGGGTTTGTCAATCGCCAGCTTTCACAGTAACATAAATAAGGCCGGTGATTTTCTGTCCACATCAGCCGTGCCCTAAAGCACCCCTGTGATTCTCTAGGTCTGCGAATAATAAGGACACCGGGATCAATGCAGTCTGCAGCTACAAAAACAACTCCACAGTCGCCACGTTTGACAGAGTGAAGCTCTATCATGAGCTGAGCGGCATGACAAAGGGCATCACCACGCTCGGACCCTACACCGTGGAGAAGAACAGCCTTTATGTGAATGGTAAACATCCAGAGAGAACTTTAATTCGTGCTTTCGCTTCATCGGGGCTTGGGCTCTCTAATAGCACCTGATGAACTTGCCCTTCCATCGATGATTTCCAGTTTATGGCAGTCCACAGGCTTTGGCACAAGGACTAAGCCAGGCCAGCATATTGGTGCTTTCACGGAGGTTCTTCATTTAGCTAATAGCTAGGTTAAAAAGCTCACTGCTGTCTTCATCTAAATCAAACAAGGACCCACTCCAATTGCCTTTAGTTAGGTGGATAAAAGTGCTCTCAAAAACCACCCTTAACCCTTTTTTTCACATTTATTTATGTAGGTTTCCGCCTCTCAGACATAGCTACTACTACAGAACCTCCTCCCACGATGACTCCAGAGACTGTGGGGTATCTGCTCAACTTCAAAATAATCAATGTAAACCTAACCAACCCAGACCCGACGTCTTCGGCCTACCAAGCATTACAGAAAGACATTGCTGACAAGGTGAGAGACCACCTTTCAGAAGCCGTCTTGGCTGTTCCATCTGAGTTTCACACCAACTTCCAGGAACAGTTTGAGAAGTTTTAATTGTTGACCTTCAAAATGTGGACAAAGAAATTGTCAATGTTTCAAATTTCAACGAGCGCTGCTGTTGCCAGTCCTGACAGAGCCTGTGTGTTGTGTAACATAATTCATGAGAAGCTGCAGGATTTGTTATCTTAGAGGGGGGTCTCCATGCTTCTGAGCAATCACAAGACTGGATCACCTCTAAAAGAGACAAGGCGGAGGCCGTCTATTAAACCCAGCCTGTTGGCACCTGTACCTTAATGACCAAATTTAGGAGTAGGCACAAACTGATCCCAACATATGCAGGTGTAACCCACCAGTGAGTGTGCGACAGGTCCTCCTCCATGCCTGACCCACAGAATACATGAGTCTGTGACACCCCTACCTAGAGAAAGAGCAATGGATGCTCTTAACTCTGCAGGTTGTCCGTTCGATCGCTGGCGTGTTAACCAAGATGGCAGCCAATGATAATCTCTGTTGGTGATGGGATAAGATGAGAAGAAGGGCTGCCATGCTCAAAGTCAAGTTGGAGCCATGAGAACACGTACCACACGATGCCCGTTTCAAATATAAAATCAGTCACAGCTTCAACCATGTTAGGGTCTTTCTGCTGCCCTAAAGCATCAGGCACGAGGTCACCCCTTACTACTGGAAATATCTAATGGTGTGTTTCTTTCAGATTAACCAGCTGTACAAAAAGAGTGACCTTCAAGGCAGATTCCTGTACTGCAGCGTCACAGGCTTGAGGTTTGTGCTACGATTCAGTTTTCTTTATTAAAGTGCGCAGATGCTCATGCCTTTCCCTGGGTACCCTGCTCCCTTGCAGAATTCCTCTCTGCTCCAAAGTTTGACATGCAGTTTAATTCACGCCCTGTCTGAATAACTCACAGGAGCCACTCCCTGACTTCTTCATTCTCACGCACATGCCCAGGGTTTAAATATCAGGGATTAAAATCAGTAAAAGGCCTGAGGCCATGCACCATGCTGTAGCTGATCTCCCGAGGGGTCAGACTCTACTTCTGAGAGCGAGTCATGAACTCTGGCTATTAAGAGACAGATGAGCTGGAGATGGACTCCTTTCCAAGAACATGCCTGGGTTCAGCTCTGCCAGCCCCTGGATGTGCTGTTAGTGCCAACAGAACTGTCACCAAACTACCTGTTTCCTTACTTGGCATTTCATGCAATTAGCATTCTTCACAAAACTGGGGTCGTAAGGAAACTCAGGGGCTGGGTCACGAGACTCCCCACCCCTCTCACCTCCAGGGAACAGTCTGAATCTAGCCCGCATTGGTGGGGGACCAAAAGTCATTTGTATTCCATGGAGGGTCGGTGGCCCATGGGGAATGAACTGGGTGGTTCTTACTCTAGTTCCCACTAGATAAGTCTCCACATCAAACCCTTCCCAGGTATCCTTAACTGGGATTTTCAAAGGGAGTTAAGCACCCGACTCCCATTGACTTTCACGGGGATTTGAGCACCTCTAGGGCCCCTTTGAAAATCCCAGCGCTTGTTGGCAATCTCAGCAGAGGACAAGAATGGAATGGATCATAGAGATAAAACATCTCCTTTCTTTTAGCCCCCAGAGCTGGCCCCTACCGGTGTAGGAACACTGGTGTGAGACTTTGTAAGGGGAGCAGGTGGCTGGTCTGTGGATAAAGAGCAAATCTCGTGTCTCCAGGGCTGTATCCAGCACCAGCTTTCTGTAAAACCTCCATTAGCATGGCCCATAAAAAGGTGATCATCTGAGGGCTGATTTGTATAAGAGCCTTGACCTCTCTGCCCACAGGATTGGCTCTGTAGTGGTCGACTGCCACTGCTACTTCAAGCCAGCGCCCAACCGCAGCGAGGAGACCGTTCTAAGCGCCTTTCAGGACGGAACGAGGAATGCAAGCGCACAATGGCTGGGAGGCAGCTACCAGCTACAGGGAGCCAGCGTGAATGGTATGTAAGCCATATAGAAGAGCTGGCTGCCTAACTTTCATTCTGGGTAATCCAAATCCCCGCGGCAGATGAGAAAGTCTCTGCCTTTCTTCTCTTCCACCGAGAAGTCTCCACCTCCCTGGTCTGGGCCGGTGAATTCCCAGATCGCCTGTGCCCATTTTTTGGCCCATCCCGTTTGGCTCAATCCAACATGTCGGGTCCGCAGTGACCCACACAGTCTTTCATTGTTAGACAAGGGGAGGGGTAACTGAAACCGTTCATTGCGATTTCAGAAAGTTTGGATGTTTTGAATTTAAAAAAGGAGATACGAAATCCCCAAGGAACGACAGGACGGTTTTTAAACACTAGAGGACTGGGGCTTTCGAGGTGGATTAAGGGAGTTTGGCACCCAAATCCCACGGAAATTCAAATTCAGCTAATGCCTCCAGGCTCCTTCCAGGCTCCCCATCTTAACCCAGGACAGCTCTGGTCCAATGGGCCTTTGCCTGCTTCTCTTCACTGTATTTTTGACGGGTTTCTTTTCTTTCTTCTCAGTTTTGGAGCCAGTTATTAAGCCAGTCACTCAGCCGCCCGTCAGTGCTGTGCGAGAGACTTTCAGGTTAAACTTCACCATCACTAACCTCTTCTACTCGTCCGAACTGAAACAACCCAATTCAAATCCTCACCGACTGAACAAGCTGATGATTGAGCAAGCGGTAAAGTTCTAAGGGTTCTGCAAATGGGCCCCGATCCTGGTCCCGTGGGAATTTTGCTCTTGGTTTCTGTAACGGGGCGACGACTCACCGGCGTGGCGCCTCCTGCTGGTCGTCCAGGGAATTAACTCGTCAGCCTCCGAAGCGCCCTCTGCAGTCTCACATTGCCGCTGGCCCCCCATGTCCCTCCTGGACCCCGGTGTCCCTTCTCTCCGGGTTCTGCCCCCTGCAGTACCCCGCAGACTCGCTGGGCCTCCCCTCCCCAGGGAACCTCCAACCCCCTATCCCCACCTC